GCCACTATCATCCTAACATCTTTCGCTCCTGCATGGAGCTTTATCGAAGGTGTGTAACAGCTTAACATAATAGAACTTTGCACATATACAACATCTTGGATAGGTAACATCGATTACGATAGGGCATTTAAAAAAATATATATTTATTTATAACAATGAGTATAAAAATACCACAAAGTAACATCAGTTAAACATTATAATAATAATAAAAAAACAAGAATTTAATGAAGACTTATAATATTCCTGTGTACACATATTTGTTTCCTAGTTTGTGTTCTTTTAAAATGACATTGATTGTTCTTGCTTTGTATAATGTCAGTGCAGTAAGACACTGGTATCTTAAGCCAATGAGCATAAATTTAACGTCTCCTTTTGTTTTGTCTCAATGGAACCACGGTTTGCAGTTTTTCTGCCAGTGCGTAGAGGTAGCTCATCGGACTGCTATAAACACTTTCCCCAAACACACCCTGAGGAGTCTATGAGTTCATTATGTACGCTAAAGAGATTGTAAATTGCTTAAAAGATGAAATGTGTCATTTGTTTAAAAGTGTTGTACAGAACAACCGCTGTAAAAAAAAAAAAAACCTACAGTTTGTGAGGAGAATTTTCTTCAAGTTTTGAAAGATGTGTTTATACAAAGATGTGACAATGTCACAAGGTTATTACAGGTATGAACAACCTTAAAGAAAAACTCCAGGAAGTTGTTTTATTAACCCGTGCAATGGGGCTACCCCCACGCTGCAAGGGTTAAGTTCTTAATTGTGTCTAGATTTAAAAAAAAAAAAATAGTTCTACTCACCCGAAGCTTTTCCTTAGACCAGTGCTTCTAGTGTCTCTCCTCCTCCTCTGCAGCAGTCTAAGGTCCCATAAATCATTAATGTCTATACACTGTGCATAGACTGAGGATGCTGAGGACGAGTCCAATGGGCTACGTAAGAGGAGACAAGCTGGAGGGAGCTCTGTGACAGCTGGCCGGCTTGAAGCTTCTGGTGAGTATATCTTTGTTAATTTTCTCTCTAGACACAAACAAGCACTTAAAGGAGAACTATGGGGTCAGTGTTTTTCCCCATAGTTCTCCTTGGGGTAACGGGAGGACACAAACTAGCGTCCTCCCGTTACCCTAAGCTTGCGGTATACTGAGACGCCGCACCTGGAGCGGATCCCGACTTAGATGACGGGATCCGCCCAGCTGCGTGAGTGACAGCTGGCTCTGCCTATCTAGAGGCAGAGGCAGCTGTACCCGCCCCCTCCCCCGTCCGTTCCGCCAGTCAGCGCTGGCAGATCGGAGCGGGGAGAGGGGAATTCAGCCCCTCCCCCTGTCACGGCAGAGAGCTGTGACAGGATCGAGAGGTGAGGGAACCCGGTATGTGTTCTCTCACCTCCCGATCTACTGAGCCGACCTGTGACAGGTCGGCTTAGAACTATGTGGTGAGTGGAAATCACTCATGTCATAGTTCTCCTTTAACCCTTGTAGTGCGGGGGGTAGCCCCATTGCACGTGTTAATAAAACGTTTTCCTAGAGTTATGTTTACTATATCATTTTTGTGTTGTGCTACAGTTAGTCCACTGTATACATATACACATATATTGATGGACAGAGACATTGAGAGAGGGGAAAGATAGTTAACTGAACCAGGGGGACATGTAGGTATTTTGTGGATTATACCTCCAGGGGTAGTTCAGGAGGGCCCGTCTGAGATTCTCTCTAAAAGCAGACAAGGCCTACTATAACCTTTATTGGCCAAAGCTTTGTCAGAAAGGGCACAAAAGAGGCTTTTCTAAATAATAATAATAATAACAGCAGGCATCTTGTGGTGTCTGCTCTTTGATTGGCTTTTACATTTTTATTAGATAGTACAATGGAATACAGAATCCCCTCTTCCATTCGGACCCAGTGTAGCTGTGCAGGACTAGAACTGTTTTTGAAGTCTTGAGACTTTTATGTGTATGTAAAGTAACTTAAATGTAAATAATTTAAATGTCAATATTTGATTTAGCAGTAAGCTAAATTAATAGTTTTTAAAACATTTCTAATAAATCACACTGACTCCTAGCTTGGCCCTTAGGCCCTCGATAACACCTCTACGATGCGACATCACAGAGGTGCTGCAGGGAGCGTTGTTGTGTGGTTGGGCAGCCCATTAATTTAAACATTACGGAAAGCACAGTTCTTTCATTTCTTTAATGTCACATTGAAGAATTAGGAGGAAGACAGACTTCAGAGGACTCCATGCTCAGTAAAGACGAGGCAGTAAGAGAACAACACAAGGATTGTGGCATTGGGTAAGATGTGATTATTGCTAATCACATAAATACATTTATTGCATACAGCAATATATTGTAGATAGAAGTGTGTGCTGTGAAATTGTGTGAATTCTGAAGAACTTATCATTACAAGGCAAGTTTGATTTAATAGACAGAGCTGCCAAAATTCGTGGATCAAATGGATAGCCTTGAAACTGCCCATGTGATGTAAAATAATGAGGCACTTAGATGAATGTAGATGAGGCTAAAAAGCTTCCAGCAAGGTGCAGCATTGCAATGTTACAGAGGAATCGCACAGATTCACCTGCTGGTGACCACTGGAAGGACTGCCAGATGGACACTAAAAGGTCCTTACAGGTAAAACTCTCCTTGGTGCCAGATGCCTTTATTGATCATCTCATATAACCTGTGAGCTCTTATTACATAGCCTTGGTCCGCCAACTTTGGGAGCCATTATTTACAAGTCCCAAGAGAATAATTTCTCCATTAAACGTCATGCCACTTTTGTGTGTTAACAGAAGAACTTGATAATACAAGTATAATGGCCATTGGTGGAATAAAATATATATGCATATCAGAGATATTGTGTTTTGCTATCATACCAGTGATGTGCGGTACCTCCGGGTGAGGCATTCCCCAGCCTCCCCCCCATCACGTCCCGCCCCGCCCCCGATGGCCCAAAGCCCCGCCCCCTCAGCCAGAAGCCCAACCCGTCCCCAAGCTAGTGTAAAGGAGGAAGGGAGGAGACTCCGTGTCCTTCACTTGCTCCTCATTGCTGAGGTGCTCAATGACAGGTTACACAGCGGGGAAGATTTCCCTGCTGTGTAACCTGTTAGATGCCGATCTGAATGGAGAAAAAGCTGTCAGCTTCAGGCATGAAGCTGACAGCTTTTTCCTCCATAATTCTAGGTTAGGCTCTGCCTCACCTGCCTCCCCTGACCGCACGTCCCTGTATCATACATCAAATTATGTATATATTTTGTAAATAAGAACATGTATGATTTATAGCAATATTTAAGATAGGCACTGTACTTTGTCACCTAGTGAAGCTATGCATTTAGTAGGGACTGCAATTCCTGCAACTACCACGGGTGGCTATTTTCTATTGTTTAGTTGCCTTTAAAGTGTATCTAAATGTAAAAACAAAAATGTAATAAATTGCAGCTTACCAGTCCTAATCTATGGTGGCAGAATTCGTTTTTGTTTTCCAGATGAAGAACATTTTCAGCAAATACAGAAAATACCTCTTGGTCTTGCCAGAAATAAAGTGTCCTTGTCACTTCTTGTGAGCTGAAAAGAAATCATACAAATGTTATCTTTATTGCGTGAACTACAAGTACCATCATGTTAGAAGTCCAGACGTGTTAAAAGTCAAGTCTGTGTCACAGCTATGGCTTCCTCTATACAATGGAGGAAGCCTCCTCCAATACCATGGAGAAGTGAGTGTAGATAGACATGAAAGGACAGGAAGTGTTTTATTTGCAGGATCATCAGGTGAAAATAAGGGAAAAAAGCATGCAAAAAAAAAAAAAGAAGCTAATACAACCAGCTCATCTAGGGACTGGTAAGCTGCAATATATTACATTTCTGTTTATTGGGTTTAGATAAGTATTTCTTACCAGCAAGACAGCAGAGGAACATTTCAGGTTATACCATTGCATGTCACTACCATGCACTTTTGTTGCACTGATGAAGTGTCATGAAGTGACTCATCACTAAGCTACTGATGCTATTAAGTGTATAAATTATACTCACAGACGCATACTGTATATTTTCTGAAAGTGGAGGTGCTGTAGAATAAAAAAATGGCAGCTGCATTTTTTTATGTTGCTCAATATTTGTGCAAATGTTTATCAAATAATATTTTTAGGAAAAAATACACTAAAATAACTTTTAATGCACACAGACACAATATGTAGTTTTTTGGAAAATATAAAAAAAAGGGTCACAACAAGTAAATAGATCCCAACAATGTCAAGCTTTAATCACAATTGTCGTTTTTGCGCATTGGCGCACCTGGCGCGTATTTACGTTTATATGTGCATATACGTGGGGGTGGGGAATTTTTTTTTTTTTTACATTTAATGTTATTGCTATCAAATATGGGGCTAACAATCCCCCTATGTGATAGCACAGGCACACTGACAGGTCCCTTTTTATGGAGACATTAGTGGTCATACATATGGCAGGCCGGAAGTGGTTAATTACATATTTTAGGTTATAATACGTTGGGCAGGATCATCTAAATTGTAGTATTGAATAAAAACTAAAAGAAAAATCTAGAATGCATTAGGCTCAATTTACAAAGCTAACCCACCAGGATAAGTAGTCTTATTTTAAATTTTTTTAAGTTACAGCTATGTTCAGTCTAATACAATTTGGAAATTACAATCACATGGATAAAAACAGAATGCCTTAGGCTGGTGTTAAAGTTTTGTCAATTGAGCCTATTGTATTTTCCAACTTTACCACTAGAGTGCACAAATGTTCTAGCTGCAAACTATCGATTGTTGCTCTGCCCCCTCTGCTCTCAATGTTCCAGTGTAGATCAGCACTAATTACTTTACAAACGTTCTCGGGAGGAGGAACCTAAACCTAACAATGCTCAAGCATCAGTGCAACGCTCTTTACACTGTGCTTTGTTTTCTTCCAGGATCAGGCAGGTAACATTCTGGTTTTGTACAAGAATACTGAGACCACGTGTCACTCTGTGACTGTAGACAGGACACTGGCCCATGACAGGCTGCCGGAACCGTTCTTTGACATGGATGGGGCAACTGTGGGAGTACGAGACCCCCAAAGTTATTGTGGTGAAGAACCGTAATCTTGGCACCATCTACAGATTGCTACAGCTTCTAATCATTGTTTACTTTGCATGGTAAGTGACAGTGCATGACAATCTGACGCTGCAATAGAACTTAGGAATAATGACAAAAAATGCATTTTGTTGTAATAAAATGTCTGGATCAAGCATTTATTTATATTAGAGAATGGGAAATAAAACATTTGATCAAACAGAACTTTACTATAGTATTGCCTGGCATTGAGCTGTGCTATTTTTTTGGCAGGTATGTGTTTGTGGTCCAGAAAGGGTATCAGGCACGGGAGACTGGCCCAGAAAGTGCTGTCATCACCAAGGTCAAAGGGGTTTCTATGTCCAAAGCCCACAGGGGAGCCAGGAGAATCTGGGATGTAGCGGAGTATGTGAAACCCCCTGAGGTAAGATGTGACTAGGAGCACTGGATTATACCACCTAGCCACGCACAGTTACCTATACACAGAGCAAAGATCTTTCTAAAAAGCTGTTTTCAGCAAACATGCATGTTTGTGCTAATGCAGGAGGAACTTTCCTCTCAAGCAGACTCAGAGAACATCAGCCAGGGTCCAACTGTTGGAATTGTTACCGTGTGAACCCAGCATAAATAGCCAAATCAAGGAATTGTTTTCTAATGCTTGCAGGTGCCTTTATAATGCCAGACCCAAGGATGAAAATAACGAATTATTATAAACTAGAAACTGTATCATTATTATCATAACTTTCTATTCTGTAGGAAATAAAACATATGTACTTTGAGAAAAAACTTCACAAGTTCATTCCCAGAGCAATTGTAATGTTGTTATAGTTCACAGAGTGTATGGTATCTTTGTTGTAGTATGAACAGTTATTGAGATTGTGAAATAGAATTGTACTTAAAGCAATAGGGTCGATTTACTAAAGGAGCATGGCTTGTTCACATTGCAAAGTGAATTTTTACTTAGCTTCACCTCATTCACTAAGCTAGATGAAAGTACGCTTTGTATAGTAATCATGCTATACTTCTTTAGTAAATCACCCCATCATACCGCCAAAACAGCAAATATAAGTATGTAATTCAGTGTATCTAGTAATTATACTTCTCAAGTACTTTGTTAGAAGTTCAAGAAGTGTTTTTTTGTTTTTTTTAACTGAATTGCATAGGTGTACCCTAAACATAATGGACATCTATGGGTAACTAATCTAAGAAGAACATATTCCTTTTTCCTCACACATCATTGGCTTACCTATGTGTCACACTGCAATAAAAAAAATAACCCTTACAGTTCATGTTATATTTTAATTCAGGGTGGTAGCATCTTTACCATCATAACCAGGACAGAAAGCACCAAACTTCAGACTCTGGGGACCTGCCCTGAGGTGAGAGAACTTCTGTGTGTTATGGTAATATATGTTATATTTGAGCAAATACATTTTTTTTAGGTTAAGACTATCTTTATTGAAGAGAAATAAGAATAGCAAGAGTAAAGCTTGTTTCAGAGGAGAGGATGTAAAATAGTAGAAATGTAATGTCAAGATTATGAAAGTTGTGTAAGAGTAAAGAGAACAATAGAAGACAGAAAGGAATCGGAAAAAGGCAGGGATGGGAATCTAAAAGGTGCCTATAAGTGGAGTTTTATATGTTAATAAACTAGCAGAGATTATTTTATAGTAGTGATAAATGTTCAGTACCAGTCCACAAAAGCTGTGGAAGGTTATGCATAAGTGAGGAAACAAAACAGGCATTTTGAGAAAACAGTTATGCCATCATTTTAAATGTATCTTGTTTAGACATGTGCGCCGGCAAAAAAATGTGTTTCGTTTCGTTTTCATTCGGATTTTTCGTTATTTTGTTTTTCGGAATTCGGGTCCGAAAGTCAATTTGTTTCAGGATTCGGATTCAGACGAATTATGAATGAATGAAGGTTGTTTAGGGGGTAATTGGGGAACCTGGCAAGTGAATTTGTTTTCCTATTTTGTTCTCTTCTTTAAATTAAATTATTTCTTATATTTATAATGTATTTTTCAGAGTAAGTCTGTAGTAGATGCTAGGTGTATCTCTGCTGATGACTGCAGAAGTGGAGCCATGCATGTACTGGGTCATGGTAAGTGGCTAGAAACACTTATATTTACAGCCTAATGTATATTGACTAACAAGATCTCCATACAAGGGAAATGCAGGCAAGAAGCTTGGGAATATGAGCCAATGAATCATTATATTACAGCAGTAATCAACCCAGCAGCAATTAATCAGTCTTCCCTATGGGCACCCCAACCATTTCTGCTTAAAAGTCATCATCCAAAAGGGTTGAATAAGGTTAGAGAAGGGTTTAAGTATATTCTAGCATTGGTAAAAGCTCTTCTCCTCTATTATGTTATTAGAAATATTTAGTGTATTAAATACATAATAAGCCTAAAATAAGTAAGAAAGTTATCAGTATTACTGCCTAATGTGTATGTTAAAGTGCCTGAAAATAGCGAGGTGTTTGCCATTTCATTTACTTCATACGATTTGTCAGTAATTCATAGTCATCAGCACTGACATCGTATTTAGGATCCTAATTAAAGGAATTATGTATGGAAATATTGTTACATAGGAGCAGACTTTTAAAAAAAATATTTTAAATTCTGATGATCTCTTTGAACATTCGCATGCTGTTCCCACTCTATGCACATTAAAGTATTAACATATTCTTAACAGTAAAATAACTTTAAAACAAGACCTCACTGACCTTTGTGGCTATATGTACTATGGAGGAAATTACCCTCAGGGCCCGTTCACACCAGATGCAGTGCACACTGCCTCGCATTGCGGCCTGCTCACTTTTTTGCCCGCCATGCCCCCTCCTGCCCCACAAAAAAGTGAGCTGGCCGCAATGCGAGGCAGTGCGTTCTGGCTAGAATTGGGCCGGAACGCACTGCATCTGGTGTGAACGGGCCCTCAAAGATCACTACACAAACTCTGAAATTAGGCTCCAGGCAACTTACAGCACCTGCTGTTTGTTTACATTTAAAAAAAACTTTTACTGATGGTTTAGAAAATGTAAACAATTGAATGCCCATAGTCTGGTCCCAGGTGCACTTTAACTTGTTTCTTATACAAACAACATGGCATGAGAAACACATAGGACCAATAAGAGTCAGACTATTATGCCACTATAGTCTTTGAAGATATACAGGTACAGAAATGTGAAAATATTGTTTTAATTATAGAGCAGAGGAGAGGAAAGCTGGAAATTGTGTGAGAGAGAATCACAGGCAGGAAAGAAATGTAGAAAATCCTTTAAATTGAAGAAATGCAAGTCAAACATTTATCACAAGCTACAACTAGTAAAAAGAATCAGTCATAGTCAGTAGAAAATGTTTAGAGAGTAATGCTTAGGTATAGGTGTGGTGACGGTCAGTAGGTCAAGGCATGTAAGGTTTCCTGTGCAAAACTGATCCCACTGATTTCAGCTTTGTCCTTTGGTAGGTCTACAGACAGGACGCTGTGTACATTCTACTCGTGGATCGTTGAAGACCTGTGAGATCTATGCATGGTGTCCACTAGAGGGTGAAACTGTGACCAGGTGAGTGATCATTTCATATTCATTATTAAAGTGACACTTTATCAGTGGAGAAACTTCAACTAAAGTGTACCAAGCTAGGTGACCATAACAGCTTGTGATGTCAGAAACAAGTACTTTGCCGCTTATGATAACGTTGACACTGAACGAAGAAACTCTGGCCTTCTGTTTCTGATGCAATGCACTGATGAACACAAAATGGATAGGAAATGTAACGGTATTGATTAATATCATGTTAAAGTGATATTAAAGTCAAAATATTTTAGATCTATTTTAAATGCTGATGAAATCACTTACAATGGATGCTCCTCCTTGATGTTTAAAGGTTTTAGTTTCCTGCTGAACCAGCTGATCCCCTGAGCACGGGTCCTGATATGCTGTTTTAGAATGGCTCCTTTCCCTCGCAGTGTCCTGTGGAGCCACCCTTGAGTCTGCTAGTAAACTGTAAGTGTGTCTCCACAAACACATAGCAACAGCAAGGCAAGCTTCTCCCCCCAATCCTCCTCCTTTTCTAAGCTAGTAGATTGAGAGCTGTCCCTTGTGATCTTGTACTGATCAGGAAGGTCAGGGAAGTGGAGCTGAGAGAGATGGAGTCAGCTGTTTAGAAGCATGATGACTGGAAATGTTTGGGCAAATATGTAAAGAATACTTTGCGGGACAATGCAGATTTGTTTCAACTAGATTCATTATTGAAAAACGTTTGAGAGTTTAATACTACTTTGAATATATAAGTAATGTTCAATCCAAACAAGGACTGTACGGCTCCATTTATAAAAACTATTGCAACCAAGTTGAGGATTTTCTAGGTTGTTGCATTTTTCTGCATGTGTTTCCCTTTTTAAAACAGTGCAAATAAACAAATACTAGTTCTTCACACCTTTGAAAGAAATTAACTATTGTTCTGCTTTGTACTATATGCTACATCCTCATAGACATGGAATTGTAGTTGTTATTTATCCTAAGGTTGGCCGTTGTTGGGCAGATAAAGAGGTGGTGGGGTGCTGGACTCTGACTCTGAGGTAGGTATACCAACTGGGTGTAGAAGCTTTTTTTTTTT